CATTGTTCTGTGTATATTATTTGAATTTCTTCAATTTCAAACGAACGGCCCCTGATTTTCCTGTAATTTTTGCAGTATTTCAAATGAATATGTACCCACATAACTGTCTTCTAATCAGATTAAAATCTGGCCGAATTTTGGCCGATATTGAAAAAAAGTTTGGCCGAATTTGGCCGTGAGATGGCGTGTGTTTGGCCGTGAAGCCTGTCGACTATCTGGCAACCCTGACCTGCAGTACGTCCTACCAGGGTTGCCATTTGGCCTTTTTGACGGCCAGATTCCTTAAATCTGGCCGTATAAAAATTTGCCTGGCCGTAGCATTTGCAAAGTCACGGCCAAACTATATTTGGCCGAATTTGGCCGAATTTTTGAAAAGTTTACATTTTTTTTCTCAATATAGGCCTAAGATCGTAGAAACGTAGACTTGTTTTGGATATTTTGTGTTTGTTAGCTTAAATTCTATATTTAATTCTAATCATGTACTTGTTTGTACTTGCACTAAACACTTAATATATGTTCCCCGATTAGCCGACTTGACGTAAGAGAGTTTATTTATAAAAGATAACAGTTACATTTAATAATTTAAATTTTTCGGATGAAATATATTGTTTATGAAGTTTATCCTCGTTTAAGTTTTATGAAGACAGTTCATTGCAAGTTTGTACCATATATTGTGTGTCTTTGTATATGTTCCATCTTACTAGTGGAGGTTCTATCTCTTTTGAATTTCTTTTGAATACAAATTAAATACTGTTCTTTTAAGTAATTTATTATTGCCCACTTGAATTGTATAGCCCTAGGTGCCGCAGTGTTCTTTATGTAGAGCGCCATATATCAATGCTCATTCGGGTCCGATGGCACCTCCAATTTCAAGCAAGGTTTGCAGAGGCTTCTTCGAAGTTACTCTGGAGTTAGGTGGTTGCATGCGAGAATGAAGAAAATAATTCTGATAGCAACATTGATTTATTGCTTTAAGTACTGCGACAATAACATTGAGAGGCGAATTTCGAAAGTTTAGATAAAAAGTATTAAAGTTTCCATAGGTTTGTTTAACGTCAGTTTGTGTTACCTAACTATGTAACTTAATTCATTCTAATTAAAGAGAGCCACGGATTTGCCAATAACAAGGCCTTAAAATTTTTGCTATAGATCGACTACAATGTACATCAATATTTAATACATTTAAATCAAATTTAGATCAATCTTAATAATAATTGTGATTTTAAATAGCAGAGGTGGATTTAAGGAGGAGGGGTGGTAAAAAAAAGATTGATTGCCCAAACGCATCAGGTTATTTTCGGGCGTCTAGAAAAGACAAATTTCTTCTAAGATGGTGTCATCTCGATCGGACCCACTTTCGCCGCCGGTCCTCCCCCTTTCGGACATCTCTGGATTTGCCCCTGAATTGGCCTGCATGCCAGCAACTAAAGAACGTAGGCTATTTATTTTTAACATTGTTCGGTGTATATCAATTTAATTTCTTCAATTTCAAACGAATGACCGCTGAGTTTCGTATAATTTTTGTAGTATTTCAAATGAATGTACCCACTGTTGTCTTCTAATCGGATTAAAATCTGGCCGAATTTTGGCCGATATCGAAAAAAAGTTTGGCCGAATTTGGCCGTGAGATGGCGTGTGTTTGGCCGTGAAGCCTGTCGACTATCTGGCAACCCTGCGTCCTACTGACACTGTACTTAGGCCTGCACTAGTTTGTTGTCGTCGGGGTATAATTCTGTCTCTAAATGAACGAGGAGCGAACCTAGCTTGTCAACATCTAGGCTAGGCTAATTGATTTTCAAATCAATAACCCACCTTAAAGGACTATTTGTCGTTTTCTTCTTTGCAACAGCGAATGAAAAAAGTCAGTTATTCTAGGACGTTTCATGATTCTTTATCACTAAAAATTAACAAACACTCGTTTTGGCGCACTCCGTTCTGTAGTGTGTGTCTGCTGTTGAAAACAAACTTCCTAGCCTAATTCTGTGACTGGCTATGATGACTGAGATGGGCCATGTTGATTTATTAGGCCTAATAATATTTTGTTTGGGATGGAAAAAAGGAGAG